CGACTGACAAAAAAAAAAAAATATCTTTCAAGCCAGGTACATGTGACTCACACCTGTAAGCCTATTACTCAGGAGGCTGAGATCTGAGGATTGCGGTTTGAAGCCAGCCTGGCAGAAAAGTCTCTTACCTCCAGTCACAGAAAAAAAAAGCCAGAAATTTTGCTGTGATTCAAATGGTAGAGTGCTAGCCTTGAGCCAAAGGAGCTCAAGGACAGCACCCAAGCCCCAGGACTGGCAAAAAAATAAAATGTCTTTCAGTTTTGCACAATTTGTTGATAGGAAACAGTATTTTATTAATGAAGTAATATCAGAACTAAATAATTGTGAGATATAAACTCAATTATTTTCCTGATGAATTTGTAGCTTCTTTGGAGATTTTGGTTTCATGTTTGGAGGAACTCCGCGTCAGCAAGACAGAAATATTCCAAGAGGAAGTGATATTATTGTAGATCTAGAAGTTACTTTGGAAGAAGTGTATGCAGGAAATTTTGTGGAAGTAAGTTCATATTGATTTTCAGAACTTATACTTTTGACTAAAAATTAAATGTTTGTAGTATTTCTTTTCTATCTTTCAGAGGAAGTGCAGGAGTGGCTACTATATAGAATTGAATTAATTGTAGTCTTTCCCCTGCCTCCTGTCAGACATGACTTTTACCTGAATTTATATATATATATTTTTTTACCGTTTTGTTCATTTTATTGCATATATGTGAATACCTGAATGTTATTTATCTGTATTGTTTTTGAGTTTGTGAAAATAGTGTATTATTTATTATCTCTTTGGACTTGTTTTTGTCATTCACTATTGGTAGTAATAATTCTGCTAGATAAAATTTTCATTGTGATTGTTATTCATCAGAGGGCATTCAGATTTACTTTGGATTTTTATAAAAATTCCAGTCTTGCCCCATAAACATTCTTGTATCTATTGTCAGTATACATGAGCAAGAGTATCTCTTGAATGGATATACTTATGAGTAGAATTTTTTGGAATATGAACCAGTGTTTGTGTTTTACAAGATAATACTATATTGTTTTTTATATTGATTGTACTAACACTTCTTCCAATCATTTATTAGACTAGATTTGCTACTTATATGGTTTGTGGGATTCTTAAACTTCTCAATGTGTGCTCATAAGATAGATACAAAATGTTATTTTCTTGTAGTCTGTGTTTCTTACCAGTTAAGCATCTTTTCATTTTTATTGGCTGTATTTGTTTCCTCTTAATGAATATCCATTCATGTCTTTTGTCCTTATTGAATTTCTGTCTGTTTTTTTGGGGGGGCGGGTCCGGTCATGGGGCCTGGGCACTGTCCCTCAGCTCTTCAGCTCAAGGCTAGCACTCTACCCACTTGAGCCACAGCGCCACTTCCGGCTTTTTCCTTTTTGCTTATGTGGTGCTGAGGAATCGTACCCAGGGCCTCAGGCATGCAAGGCAAGCGCTCTACCACTGAGCTACCTTCCCAGCCCCTTCTTACTGAATTTCTAAGAATACTTATAATTCTTGTTGAAAATAATACAAACATATCTTGACTTTTCACTGTATGTAAAATGTATTTCAATAAACAGAAATATTAGCTTTTTTTCTTTTAATACTGGAGTTTGAACTCAGTGCCTTGTATTTGCTGGGTAGGCATCCTACCACTTGAGCCACATCCCTGCACTTTTAGCCATTATTTTTCAGAGGCCCTCCGTCTCTGCTTGGTCTGGGTTACAATCCTCCTATTTTTATGTTTCATACTGCAGGGCTGGAATGACTGGTACATGACACCTTACCCAGTTTTTACTGGTTGAGATTGGGCTGTAATCTTCCTGATCTAGTAGTTAGGATTATAGGTATGTGTAAGCCACAGTACCCAGCTAGAAGTATGTTTTAATGTTACCAAATCTATGTTATTTACAGCTTTTGTGTCTTATTTAATAAATTCTGCTGTAAGATGAGAAAACTAGTGGATATGTTGTAATAAAAATGTCAACTATTTTAAGGTGAAATTATTCATTCATTTTTTTTTGGGGGGGGGTCCGGTCGTGGGGCCTGAACTCTGGGCCTGGGTGCTGTCCCTCGGCTCTTCAGCTCAAGGCTAGCGCTCTACCACTTGAGCCACAGTGCCACTTCCGGCTTTTTTTTTTCTGCTTATGTGGTGCTGAGGAATTGAATGCAGGGCCTCATACATGCAAGGCAAGCGCTGTACCACTGAGCCACCTTCCCAGACCAGAAATTCATTCTTGAATGGACTTTATTGCTAGACTGCCTACTTTTGAAACTTCTCTGCCAGGATTATCTGTCATTATTATCATCATAAACTATTCATTTTACCTAATCTTTATGTACTGCTGCTACTTCAACTGTAAAAAGCTATAAGACCTACTTCATAAGGTTGTGTGGATTACACAAATATGTAAATATATGTAAATGTATAAAGTTGTTTAGAGCATTGCTTGGCAGGTAGTAAGTAGTAGAAAGTATTTGCTCTAATTGCAGTATTATTATTGCTGCAATTTATTCTGTTGGCCTGGGCTTTCATTTATTGGAAGGCTGTAAGGAACTTTTCCCCAATCATTTGTGTTGTTCTGCTACATAAACTTGTTTTTCTACAAGTCAAAAACAGGAATCCATTTCTTCATACATACTGATTTCACATACTTAGTGGAATCAAATGTTTGATTGCAATCAGCTACAAAGTGATGCTCATTGTGACTGCCTATATATAAAAGTGTTGAATGGCGGTATCCCTGGAAAGTAGTCTCAGACTGAGTTGCCTAAAACAGGAGACATTTTCCTTAGATAAATCATGGGATTAGATGGCAACCACACAGCAGATTTTGAATACCCATTTTTGAATACGCATTTGTTAAGGGATAGTAATTCCAAGAACTATTTTAACTCAGTAGCACTTAGTTGTAGGTTGGAAATGCTGATAGCACATGATTTTTTCATTTCTCATCCTCTTTTCACTTTGCCAACTTTGGAATTGGACTCACTGAAGTTTGTGATTGCTTCATTCCTGATTGTGGAATGATTTGTATTCTTCAAAGCATCATGTCTGCTTCAGGTTTTCCTAAGAAACAGCTTTCCAGAGGGCAAGTGTGCAAAGCCCTAATTGGTTGAGGACACTAACAGCTGTTTTATGCACTTCTTAGGTAGTTAGAAACAAGCCTGTGGCCAGGCAGGCTCCTGGAAAACGGAAATGTAACTGTCGGCAGGAGATGCGGACCACACAGCTAGGCCCAGGGCGCTTCCAAATGACCCAGGAAGTGGTCTGCGATGAGTGCCCTAATGTTAAGTAAGTAAAAGCCAGCCCCTTGAGGATCTACCAAGAAACACTGAATGTCTCATTTGTCTAACACAATTCTAGTCCCTCTTCCCACCCACTTAGCTCTTCCCCACCATGGTCTTAAGGAAAGAGCAAAAGCATGAACATTTTAAGTTTTTTTCCTAAAGTAGTCCTTAATAAAAATTCTCCTTTTATGTTTCTAAACTGACTATCAGTACCTTTTATCTCTGAATGTAACTAACAAAAGTTAAGGTTTTTTTCTTTTTCCTTAGACTATTTCAGCAATCTTACATGGCTATTTTTGGGTTTTTTTGGCCAGTCCTGAGGCTTGAACTTTGGGCCTGGGTACTGTTCTAAGCTCCTTTTGCTCAAGGCTAGCACTCTACCACTTGAGCCATGGCGCCATTTACAGCTTTTTCTGTGATTCAATTGTAGATTAGAGTCTCACAGACTTTCCTGCCTGGGCTGGCTTTGAACTATGATCCTCAGATCTCAGCCTGAGTAGCTGACTCAATCCTGAGTAGCTAGAATTATAGGCATGAGCCAGGGGCACCTGGCTGATCATACATGTTTTTATGTCTTTATGTTTCGGTGTACAGAAGATATGAACAACTCAAATTGCCTTGCCAAATCAAAGCATTCCATAGTCTTCTAAGAAAAAAACTCAGATAAAATAAAACTTTTTACCTAGGGTATAATTTGGTTTTTTGTTTGTTTTCTTAAACTGATCTTAAACTCAAGGCCTCAAACTCACTCAGTCTTCTTGCTCACAGGTGGTGCTCTACCACTGGAGCTACACTTCCAGCCCAGCTTTTTGGTGGTTAATTGGTGGAGTCTCACAGACTTTTTTTTTTTTTTTTGAGTCTCACAGACTTTTGCACAGTCTGGCTTCAAACAATAATCCTCCAAATCTCAGCCTCTTATGCAGCTAGGACTATAGGTGTCTGGCTTAGTTTTTATTAAATTTTTTTCTTTAATTCTCTTTGTTTTAGACTGGTGAATGAAGAACGAACGTTGGAAGTAGAAATAGAACCTGGAGTGAGAGATGGCATGGAGTATCCCTTTATTGGAGAAGGTGAAATATTGATGGTTTTGTTATCGTAGCTCTGTTTTCTGCTTGCTCCTCTCATATTTTAAAGACCACATAATAAATTAGTAATTTCTAAAACCCTTTAGCCTAAAACCCTTTTAGAGTACAGAAAGCCTTTATGAACAGTATGGTTAATCACCTGGTTCATTAGGATTGCTGTTCATCTTTTTAATATCATGGCCAAAAGTATAAAGTAGCATAAGTTTTACCAAAATTTAGGATATTAGGACCTTTCACTCAGCAATGAAAACATTTAACTCTACTTAAGGGCACTATAAAAATGTTCTCAGACCTCACCTTTTGACTTAAATCTAAATCTAAAAGAAAATAAACATTAAGACTTGAGATTCTTGAAATCAGTGAAGCATTCTTTGTCTGAGAAGTAGGTCACATTTTTAATTGTTGTATCTGGAGCACAGGTTATCTTTGCTAATAATCTGAAACTTGATAAAAGCAGACAGGGACTCTGCCCTTACAAACAGACTTAACAGTGTCTGGTTTTAAAAGAATTATCTCAACTGAAGAGTATATTTAACTGATGTGGCTTCATATTCTATAATGTTACCTGATCAGGTGAGCCTCACGTGGACGGAGAGCCTGGAGACTTACGGTTTCGAATCAAGGTGGTCAAGTAAGTAAGCAAATTTTAGAGGCAGTCTCCTTAGCCCTGCTTTTCAGATGAGTCAGAGTATAGAGATAATGCAGCCAGCATGAATCCTGAATCCTTTTCCCCTGTTTTCATGTGCTTAATGTCATAAGCTATTATTTTTTAACTCGGCAACAATATTGAGAGTTTGAGTTTCTAGCATTGAGCCCCAGTTATTTATTTCTTAGGACTTGGGAATTCAAAATATTAGAAGGAGAGAATCAGTAAGTGAAAGGAGCTGGGAAAGAGGGGCAATTGCAATTTTAGCTAATTAATGGCAGTTTTCAGGTACAGTGTTTCCATTTATAGGCTTCCCATTGGCATTCAGGTGCTGCTCAGAGGTAACTTTGCCCTGGGATCAGTTGTCTTATTTGTTATTTTCTCCAGTTAGAAACCAGTGGCACTTCTGTATTTAAGGAATCACTGAAACTAGATCATGGAATAGTAGAGCATTGAAGGCATGGCTCAGGTGGTAGAGCTTCATCCAGTGAGCAAAAGCATCAGATACTAAGTTTGAGAAGTGGACTTTGTCTAGGACTTGCCTCTCATTGTACTCTCTATGCTCTATGATCTTCTCCCCATCATAGATATAGATAGATAGATAGAGCTATTTTCAGATGTATCTATTTCTATATATGTATCTTTACCAGGGAAAAGGTATGCATAGACATATATATGTATGTACACACATATACATACACATATAAGTACATGGGAAGATTTTATTACTGGATTTCTGCATATGTTTACAATGTATTCCTGTCAATCTCACCATCTCTTTCACTCTCCCTGCCTCTTTATCCCCTCCTCAAAACAGTTTTAAAGTTCTTTTTTTTGGGGGGGGGGTCTGGTCATGGGGCCTGAACTCTGGGCTTGGGCGCTTTCCCTCAGCTCTTCAGCTCAAGGCTAGCGCTCTACCACTTGAGCCACAGCACCACTTCCGGCTTTTTTCTTTTTGTTTATGTGGTGCTTTGGAATCGAACCCAGGGCCTCAAGCATGCAAGGCAAGCACTCTACCACTGAGCCACCTTCCCAGCCCACAGTTTTAAAGTTCTGTTTTCATAGTTGTAGATAACTTATTTAGACCGTATTCAACTTCCTTCATCCTCCTTGTTAGCCCACCTTGCTCCCCAGCTTTTCTTACTATGTCTCCTCATCACTTCCCTGAGAAGCTAGAACATGTTCTGGTCCCCAAGTAACCTAGTATCTCCTTAAGGCCTTGTCTGCCAAGATTTGCTCTCATGGGGCTGGGATTGTTGGCTCTTTCCACAGAGGAGGGTCGGAGCCCTGTGCATAAAGCTGTGCCTTGCCCTGTCCTTGTGCAGTGCTCCCGTTTGCGGGGGGTGGGGGGGGAGCGGGGGAGGAGGATTATTAAGACATACACAAGTTTATGGTCTCATTTAATGCTATACACTATATCTTGTCTTATAAATGCTTATTGTATAAGCAAGTGTGTGTGTGTGTGTGTGTGTTGCTGTTGTTTTGGAACTCAGGGCCTGGGTGCTGTCCCTTAGCTTTTTTAAGGTTAGTACTCTACCACTTGAGCCACACCTCCACTTGAGCCACACCTCCACTTCCAGCTGTTTGCTGTTTTATTGAAAATAAGAGGTCCACAGGCTTTTCTGCTTGGGCTGGCATTAAACCTCCATCATCAGATCTCGATCTTCTGAGTGGTCAGGATACCAGTGCCCAGCTTGGTATTTATGGATTTCCAGGGTTTTTTTCCTAATAACTTTGAACTCTTCCTGAAGAAAAATGGAAGTTACTAATTTATACTTTGTTCTGTTTTTAGACACCGAATATTTGAAAGGAGAGGAGATGATTTGTACACAAATGTGACAATCTCACTAGTTGAGTCTCTGGTTGGCTTTGAGATGGATATTACGCATTTGGATGGTCACAAGGTAAACAAACCAATTTTCCTCCTTTGAAAAGCCTTCATGTGAGTGGTTTCAGATGATTTCTGCCTCTGGAATCCTTTAGAACCAGCAGGACTCCTTTCCTCACCTCCTTCTGCCTTTTTTCCTCACTCTGAAGCAGCCTGCAGTCACACCGCACTGTGTCAGCTATGCAGAGCTGATCACACAGCCTTTTACAATCTTGTTCTGTTTCCATTGGCAAAGATTGCTTTTTAGAAATGTGTTTGGTTTTTACTTGTATTTTCTAAAATCTCTTCTTTCTTTGATTCTGATACTAATGCTGTTTCCCTTACCCTTCACCTTCTCTTCTTTGCTGTGCTCCAGCCTTGGTGTCATGTACCAGTGCACACTAGAAGCTGAGGTGGACTCAGCTTTCATTTCTTCTCTAGCACTTTTCTCTTTTACTTTTCAGGTTCATATTTCCCGGGATAAGATTACCAGGCCAGGGGCCAAGCTATGGAAGAAAGGAGAAGGGCTCCCCAATTTTGACAACAACAACATCAAGGGCTCTTTAATAATCACTTTTGATGTGGATTTTCCAAAAGAACAGTTGACAGAGGAGGCAAGAGAAGGTATGGGGTGTTGTGAGAAGAGAGCATGCATGTGTCTGTATTTGTATTGTGTGTGAGTGCAAAATGGCAGTTAAAAACAGATCCCCTCCATTGACACCAAACACCAAGCACTAGGAGAACCCAGCAATAGGAACAGATTGTCTTTCTCTGTAAGGGCAGTAATAAAAATCCTGCTGTCCTGTGTTCAAAAAAGGCTAGGCAAGGGCTGGGAAGGTGGCTCAGTGGTAGAGCGCTTGCCTTGCATGCCTGAGGCCCTGGGTTCGATTCCTCAGCACCACATAAGCAAAAAGAAAAAAGCCGGAAGTGGCGCTGTGGCTCAAGTGGTAGAGCGGTAGCCTTGAGCTGAAGAGCTGAGGGACAGTACCCAGGCCCAGAGTTCAGGCCCTACGACCGGACCCAAAAAAAAAAAAAAAAGGCTAGGCAAGTGGGTCTTTGAAACCTAGGGAGCAATGATTGTATGGAGTAAAATGAATGAGCTGGACTGCACTGTAAAGAGAAAAATGAGTTATTTAATAGATTAGAGGCTTTGAGGTAGATATCTATGATGATTGGTTGAGAAGAGTTAACCTTTGGAAGTTTTATGTAAAAGCAAGGAAAATGGTAAAAGGGGTAAACAACTGAAAAGAGACCAAAGAAGGAATAACAAAAAGGCTTAGCTGAAACTTTTTCTTTCCCTTTTGATTATCTCTTCTTATTCTCTAGGCTCCAGGGGGTATGGGGTGTGAGAGTCAGATAGCAAGAGATAAAAAATCACCTAGATGCATTTGTGCATGTGTGGAGGTAATATGTGATGGTGTGGAGCTCCACAGTTAAGTTATTTTTAAGTCAGAGCTGTGGTGGTCAGAAGGCCTTCCGTTGGCCTCCTGGTGAAACACGCTCCTTAGGACATCTAGGGAGTTCATCATTTGGTTAATGTCATCATTTGTTCATTCTTTCAGGTATCAGACAGCTACTGAAGCAAGGACCCGTGCAGAAGGTGTACAATGGACTGCAAGGATATTGAGTGAATAAAATTGGACTTTGTTGAAAATAAGTGAATCGGCGATATTTATTATCTGCAGGGGTTTTTGTGTGTTTTTGTTTTTATTTTCAATATGCAAGTTTGGCTTAATTTCTTTTTTCCTGATGTTTGTCATGACATAAGTAAGAAGGCTTAAGCATGTGTCCATTCAGACAAGAACGACCAGCAAAAGGTTACCTAATACCTCTCCCCTTGGGGATAAAATGTCTGGTGCTGCTGCCTGATTTTCAAGAATGAAAGCTTCAAGAAGACTTGAGGAGCAAACAAAATAACTTAAATGGTTGCAGTTAATTGTTAGCTATTTCATTCAAAATGCCAACTGGAGAAGTCTGTTTTGAAATACATCTTGTTTTGTTTTTTTTCTTATTCTTGACTCCTGTTTCTTTCCTCCTGTTAGTTGGGCTATTCTCGTCCCATCCAGCAAGGTAGACAGCATATGAAATAATGAAAAACCCACTGCCTGGGGCCCACTAAACACATGTGATGTCTTCTAGCAAAGCACTAGAAGACATGGAATAGATATAGAAGACATAGAATAGAGATGGGGCATATGAGTGAAAATTGCACAAAGATCTAATTGTCCTTGAGAAAGAAATATTTATTCTCTTTTTCCTTGGAACAATAAATTGTCTGATAGAAATGTAGCTGTTTAGAAAGCAGGGTAATCTCAGTTGCCCTCATAATTAGAAAGTCTGGAGTTTATTTTAGGAACTAGGATTACCACTGGCTCTAGGCAATGAATTTTAAAAGAATTGCAAATTAATGCTGGTTGCTGGTGGCTCATGCCTGTTATCCCAGCTACTCAGGAGGCTGAGATCTGAGGATCACGGTTCAAAGCCAGCCTGGGCAGGAAAGTCTGTGAGACTCTTATCTCCAATGAACCACTCAGAAAAGTGGAAGTGGTGCAGTGTCTCAAGTGGTAGAGCACTAGCCTTGAGCTGAAGAGCTCAGGGATGGCGCCCAAGCCCAGAGTTCAAGCCCCACAACCGACAAAAAAAAAAAAAAAGAATTGCAAATTATATTTGCTTCTTCCAATGGCACTCAGTTCAGATGGTGTGTGACTAGAAAATACTTGTTTTTTGATTCTCTTTTTTTTTTTTACAATATGTAGTCACTTCACAGAACTTTTGCTTCTCAAGTACATTGGACTTCTTGATTCAGCTAGTAGATAATTATTGTTGGGATGTATATAGAGCTAGGGAGGTCCCTAGCATGCATCACTGCCTTTTTCTACAGCCCAGGAATCAAATGAAACTGGAAATTTATACGCAAGTTTAGGGGGCCTTCTGTACATTTTTCATTACAATTGCCTGTTGCAGGGCATACTTTAAAAATGATCACCAACATGTCCCTTCTATATCTTAGTCCAGCAGAACTCTTGATAATTATACTTGCTAATCTTTTTTTTTTTTTTGGCCAGGGTGTATGCAAGCAGGGTGTATGACACCAAAAGCTAGAATGACTAGTCTCAGGGGAAAAGATCCTTCTACTTAATGCTTTCCCTGAAAGAAGAATGTTGATGGAACTTTATCTTTCCTTTTTAATCCATGTCTAGAGTGTCATGATTTAAATAGTTTAGACTACCCTTTCATCATTTGACTCTAAGCGTCTATTTCCTTTAAGTACTTTTTACGTGAGGCATGTTGTAGTTGGAGAGATTTGTATCATGGTTCCATAGACCTTCTTACAAAGAAGAACATAAAAGGTTGTAAGAAGTTTCTAGCTTCAAGTAGAACTTGCACTGCAAATTCCAAGTAAAGATCAGTGAAAACTTGTCCATTGTGTAAAAAAGTTGTTTTTTTTTTTTTGTTGGTCATGAGGCCTGAACTCTGGGCCTAGGCACTGCCTCCTAGTTCTTTAGCTCAAGACTAGTGCTCTACCACTTGAGCCATGGCACCACTTCTGTTTTTTTCTGCTTATGAGGTGCTGAGGAATCGAACCAAGAGCCTCATGCATGCAAGGCAAACACTCTACCACTGAGCTACCTTCCCAGCCCTAAAAAAAAAAAGTCCTTTTTTGAGTGGCTTTATGAGTGAGGTTCAGTTCCAAGTGCTTCATACAGATAAACCCTTAATTGGATGAGGGACACTGGGGAAGTATCTGGAAATAGTCCCACATAGTAGCCACATGGGGCTAGTTGAGTTTTGAAGAGGTACTATGAAGTATAAAATATGCATTCAATTTTGAAAATTTACTGTAAAGATGTAAAAATACCTTAATTCTGGGGCTAGAGGTATGGTTCAAGTGGTAGAGTGCTAGCCTAGCAACTAGGAGAGACCCTGAAATTAATCCCCAGTACCACACATATACACTCAAAAATCTTAATTTTTAAAGCAATTTAAATTGTATTGACCTCAATTTTTAATATTGACTACATGTTAAGTAAATTCACTCAAGGATTTTTTAAAATTTTACTTTTAATTAATGTACCTCCTAAAAGCAGTAGGTTGGTTCACATATTTTTGTTGATAGTGGTGATTTAGAATCGCACCTGGGCTACCCAAGTAAGTCCTCCATGCAGGAGACCTCTGGTCTGTGGAGATGAAGTGCTTCACAATCACCTCTTAAAGAGGACCAGGTGGTCCCATCCATTCCACTCTTGGGATTTTCCAATTCAGTTTTCCCCGCACATGTCCTGTCCACTTAGAATCTCAGCATGGTATTGGCTGTGACATAGATTTCCAACCCACACTTTATACATTGTTGATAGGATTGGAGCCACTAAAATTCTCTGTATTAGCGTTTACATCAGAGTGAAGTCATATCTCCCTCAGTGAAAATAACTAGTAGCTAGGATTATATGTATGCACTACTAGTGCCTGGCAGAACCATTATTTGTGTGTGTGGGGGGGGGTTGTTTTGTTTATTTGTTTTTTGTCAGTCGTGGGGCCTGAACTCTGGGCCTGGGTGCTGTCTCTCAGCTCTCCAGCTCAAGGCTAGTGCTCTACCACTTAAGCCACAGCACCACTTCCGTCTTTTTCTGCTTATGTGGGGCTGAGGAATCGAAACAGGGCCTCCTGCATGCAAGGCAAGCACTTTACCACTGAGCCACCTTCCCAGCCCCAGAACCATTATTTATATGCAAGGTAATGCCAAGAAATTTTTTTATTAATAAGTTTTTTTATTGTGAAAATACCGTACAGAGGGGTTACAATTACATGAGCAAGGTAATGAGTACATTTCTTTCTTTCTTTTTTTTGGGGGGGGATCCGGTCGTGGGGCCTGAACTCTGAGCCTGGGCGCTGTTCCTCAGCTCTTCAGCTCAAGGCTAGCACTCTACCACTTGAGCCACAGTGCTACTTCCGGCTTTATTTTTTTCTGCTTATGTGGTGCTGAGAAATCGAACCCAGGGCCTCATGCATGCAAGGCAAGTGCTCTACCACTGAGCCATCTTCCCAGCCCCAAGGAATACATTTTTTATCAAACATTGTTGCCTCCTCCTTTGTTTTTCCCTTACCATTCATGCCCTCCCATCTCCTCAGCTAGGCTACACTCCGCCCCGCCACCCCTCCCCCTCCCCCCCACACACTCCCCCTCCTGACGACAAAGTTGTAAAGTCTGTTTTTCGACATAGCATCTTGTACATCTCATTGTTGCAATGGGTCCACCTGTATCCCTATTTAAACAATTGCTTTTTCCCTCCCCCCCCCAAATTATACCAACATCAAATACAGTGAACACAGGGGTTATACTGTGGGGGAGGAACATACCAAGAAACAAAAAAAAAAATCACCTTATAAATATGTTAGAAACAATAGCAAGAAAGAAAAACCACTTGAGTCTTTATCTTGGGATTCATTTTGCCTAACATCAACTTATCAAACCCTAGGTCTCCTTGGCACAGGCCGAAATTTTCTTAATAGAGACCCAGAAACACAACAAATCAAAGAAATGGGATTGCATGAAATTGCAGAGTTTCTGCATGGCAAAGGAAATAGCTAGCAAGATCAATAAAAAGCCCACGGATTGGGAGAAGATCTTCACTAGCCATACAATGGACAAGGGTCTCATATCTAAAATATACTTGGAACTCAAAAAATTAAATCCCCCGGGGAGGATGGGGGGGGATGGGAAGGGGAAACAAAAGAGAAGGCTACAATGCTTGATAAGAAATGTACTCATTATCTTGCCCATGTAATTGTAACCCTTCTGTACAGTATTTTCACAATAAAAAAAATTAAAAATTAAATCCCAACAACAAATCCTCAAAGAAACAACTGCTGGTAAATAAGTGGGTAAAGGACTTAAAAAGAATAGGAAATAAGAATGGCCAATAGACACATGAAGAAAGGCTCAACCTCTCTAGACATAAAAGAAATGCAAATCAAAACAACATTGAGATTTCACCTCATCCAAGTTAGAGTGGCTATAGTCAAGAACTCTAAGAACAACAGATGCTGGAGGGATGTGGCCAGAAGGGAACCTTACTACATTGTTGGTGGGAGTGTAAACTTGTTCAACCACTTTGGACAGCAGTATGGATGTTCCTCAAAAGACTCCACATAGAGCTCCCCTATGACCCAGCAATCCCACTTTTGGGCCTTTACCCAAATGATCACAAAGAAGACCACACTAAAGCTACCCATTATTCACCATAGTTAAGATATGAAACCAACCCGGAGGCCCCTCAGTAGATGAATGGATCAAGAAAATGTGGCCTATATACACAATGGAATCCTATGCCTCCATCAGAAAGAATGATACTGCCCCATTTGTTAGGAAATGGAAAGACTTGGAAAATATTATAAAGTGAAGTAAGCCAGGCCCAAAGAAACATAGGTCCCATGGTTTCCCTTATTTGCAATAACTAGTATATATCTGAGACATGCCAAGAAATTTGTTGAAACAATGATCTGTTGGGAAATGAGGCCTGACTGATACTACTTGGGGAACGTATATTGGGTCTTAGGGACCATACTTTCACAATTAGGTGCTTAAACACATTACTTTCTGGAGAAACTGCTTAAACATTACTTTCTGGAGAAACTGCCCATCTCTAGTCTGTCCTCCAAACCTTAAAATTAGTCTTTTTTTTTTGGGGGTCCGGTCATGGGGCCTGAACTCTGGGCCTGGGCGCTGTCCCTCAGCTCTTCAGCTCAAGGCTAGCGATCTACCACTTGAGCCACAGCGCCACTTCCGGGTTTTTTCTTTTTGCTTATGTGGTGCTGAGGAATCGAACCCAGGGCCTCAGGCATGCAAGGCAAGCGCTCTACCACTGAGCCAACTTCCCAGCCCCTAAAATTAGTCATTTTTTAAACTTATCAACTCATCAAGTTTACACTTCTATTTCCTACTGCTGATGTTCATTCTACCTTAGATATTTCAAATGACATTCCTTTTAGTAAATTATGGAAGCAAAATAGAAG